GCAGAACCAGGAAAATAACATACACAACTACAACATAAATGGAAAGAACAGTAACAAAACTGAGTGCTGTGAAATTGATGTTTAGTTTCATAAAGCTTTTTCATACTTTTACAAGACATGGCTCTGACAGGAGACAGAAAAAGCGGAAAATATGAGTGACGTAAAAGCAAGAGATCAGTAAATATTTATTTTTTAAAAACACCAACAAATAGATCTCAAATAGGAAAAAGGCATCCAAAACAAAATAAACATTTGCAAAAAATGAGTAATTTTATTTAATCAGTTTTCATATTCTAGATCCTTGAGGGATAGAGCATCTGGAAGAAAAAAAATAATAGGTAAGAGATGAGTAATAAACATACAAGTTAATTTTATCTTCTAAAGGGGTATAGGGACTAACAAATCATTACATTTTTTTGGCAGGCAAACAAGGCCTTATGAAAAGGCCATAAAATAAAAATTTACTTTGTGGTCTTGGTGAGCAAGAACTGGGGGGAAAAAAAAGACAAGCAATGCAAAGAAACAGAGATCTTAGCAAGAATACATCTCTCTCATAAGCCTAAAACTTATTCTATGCTTTTCTAAATTACAGCAAGGAGTTTCAAGCATACTATTGTTTCCTGACAGGGATGGAGGAAGACATACCCCTCTGCAAACACTCCATAACAATGCTTGTAAATAAATGTAACTAAAGTTAAAATAATGCCGGTAGTGTTGAGTGATGTTCCAAGCCCACTTCAACAAGCTTAAAAAAATCCCATTTTACGCATATATCAGTAAGCGTGCCATCACTGCACACAGAAGGGGTAAACTGCTGGTTTTAAACATTTCCCACAAAAAGTATGCGGTGCAATTTACCTCCTGTCTTAACAGTTATCAGCAACCTGACAAGGCTGGAAAGAAATTTATCATCTCCTTTTTACAAAGGAGGGAACTGAAGCTCAGAGATTAATTAATTTGCATAGAGTACTAGTATAGGGGAAGAGTCAAGATCAAGACCAACTTAATATATAGCCTATTCTAATAGAGTAGCATTTGACAGGGCAAATACACCCATGCATGTTATACCTTCTACTGTAATTTCATCCAAAAACAGGAAGATTTGACTTCTATGGGAATATTCATAGAAGGACATAGTATATAAACAATCTTATTACACAGAGTGGATGGTATATCTAGAACAAATATGATACATGGCAAGGGTAATTCTTGAATGTGGGCACAATTTCTTTTCAGAAAATCACCACTTCTAAGAATAGAGGCTATTTCTATGACTCAATCTAATATCGTTAACATTTAACCCTGAACTTGCTTTTGTTCATTCAAAAGACTCGGACCCACCAGTTTAATAAGATAAGCTCAAAGGCTAAGTTTAGATCTTTACTACCACCAGTTTAATTAAATTAGGATTTGAACTCAGGTCTTCAGACTTGAGGTCCAGTACTTTATTGACTACATCTCCTATGTCTGAAAATAGAAGGATACCTTGTACATTTGAACTACTCACCACTCGGATCCTGTGTCCAATGGCCTTGGCAGGAAGATTGCTTCTGAACTTGGCTCGAACCATTCCACTATTTCCATGAGCTCGAGTAACTTTTCCCCAGATAACTCTTGTTCTGTTTGGTTTCCCACCAGGAGTCACTGTGTTGCTGATAGAGAAAAAAATACCCAGAATCTTAACCAATAAAATCACAATAATGCACAACAAAGTTCAAAGGAAACTTTATACAAAGTTATCATCCCAAATCACAAGTTAGGAAAATTCTTTCATCCCCAAAGCTACCAATCCAATGGAAACATTTCCAAACCTCAATTTAGTTGCCACATTCAATTTAAGCTCATCCTAAGCAACGATGCAGAGTGAAGTGAGCAGAAGTACATAGTAACAGCAATACTGTAGGATGAACAACTGTGAATGACTTAGCTATTCTCAGCAACACAACAATCAAAGACAATTCCAAAGGACTCACGATGAAAAATGCTATCCAACTCCAGACAACTGATGGAGTTTGAATGCAGACTGAAGCAAATTATTTTTCACTTTCTTTCTGGTTCAAGTTTTCTTCTACAAAATGTGAAAACATTTTACATGCTTGCCTATGTATAACCTATATCAGATTGCTTACCAACTGTCTCAGGAAGGGGGAGGGAGAGAATTTGGAACTCAAAATTTTAAAAAATGCTGAAAACTTTTTTTACATGTAATTGGGGGGAAAATATTAATAATAATTAAAAAAACCCTCATCCTAACTATAAATCCCACTGATTTTAAGTGGCTGTATTCAGGAATCGTGAGATTTAGAAATGGCTTCAGATCTCATCATTCAACAGAAACGAAATCTCTCCAAAGTGACCAATGATCTCTTAATCACCAAATCTAATGACCCTTTCTCAATACTCATCCTTCTTGACCAGTAAATAATTATTAAACATTTATTGAGTACCTATACTACTGCTACTCTCTCTTGGTTCTCCTAATCTATCTGACCATTCTTCAGTCTCATTTACTGGATCTTCATAAGGTAACGACTACTAAGTGAGTATCCTACAGGGCTCTGTCCTGGGCGCTCCCTATTTCATTTGATGATCTTATCAGTTCCCTGATTCAAGTACCTCAGTTGCTGATTCTCAAATACAATTAGGTGTCACCTTAAATTTCTCATTCTCTACCATCCCCCCATCCAATCTGTTGCCAATTCTTGCTGACTCTACCTTAACATAAGCCTCCTCTTCTTCCCTTGTCACCTTATGCAATCAAGTCTCTTGGTTTGCCTCCCTGCCTCAAGACTCTCCCTATTTCTTTCCATCCTTCACTCAGCTGTCCATGATCTTCCCAAAATGCAGGCCTGACCATGTCAATCCCCCCACTGAATAAACTCCAGTGGTTCCCTATCACTTTTAGGATCAAATGGAAAAAAATCCTCTTTGAACGGCAGAGCCTTTCATAACCTGCCCCCTCATTGCTTTCCAGTTTCCCTCATTGGACTGAGTTCCTTGAGATCAAGGGCTGTCTTTTGCCTTTCTTTTAATTCCCTGTGCGTAGTACCACAGTTGGTACACAGTAAGCACTTTAATGTTTATTGAACAATTTATCATAATCCTTCCCTGAGATACCACTGTAGATCCAACAATACTTATACTCTTGTTTTACATTCATACTAACAAGAATCTAACCATATGTTGAACGTGCTGTCACAAATGTCTTATTTGCCCTTCCTTAAAATTAAATGTTTGAATTTAAATCCTCTATTATTCTTGAGCAAGTTAAAAAAAAAAGGCACTTACTTTTTGGCTTTGTATACATAAGCACATCTCTTGCCCAAATAGAATTCAGTTTCATCCCGAGCATAGACTCCTTCAATTTTCAGAAGAGCTGTATGTTCCCTCTGGTTTCGTAGGCCTCGCTTGTAACCAGCAAAAATGGCCTTGGACCACAGTCTAAGATGTAGAAATGCAAAGATAATCGTTGTCATTTGTGGAGTTTATGAGGCCTACTAAAAATAAAGAAAATCTTAGAGCAAAACAACATCAAAGAGAAAAAACAAATAAAATAGTGAATGTATAGTGAAATATACTTTCTTACCTTCCAGACATTATGCTGTCCTAGAAGTCCTGTTTCCAGCAGGCCTTAAAACAAAAGGGACTGAGTTTAAATGCTTGCAATACAATGTTACACATCATTAAAAAATTTAAGAGATTCATTTTTTTTGGTCTTGTTTCTATTCGGTGAAAGATATTACCAACTCTTCCCAGGTTTTACTGATGGATGTACTCACTGCACATACATCTCAACTACACTTATAAAGAAATGAGAATTTGCCAAATACAGAAAATATACAGCACATACACTTCATCACCCTCAGTACTATTCAAAGGAAAAATCACAAAGGGTGGTGGGGAGGAGTGCAGCTAAAGCTAGACAGGTAGAAAGTAAATTATACAGAGTAAGAAGGGGGAAAGAAGCACTAATTAAAGTGGCATTAATCCATTCCCCAAAAGCACGCCGTGTAACCGACCAGACTGGCCTGACATATGGACCATTCCTTCTGATTATGGCTGCTCCTTGCGCCTAGAATGTCCTCTTTCACTTATCTCTTGAAATTCCTATCTACATTCAAGGCTTAGTTCAAATGCCCATTCCCAAATTCTAATTGTTTGCACCTCCCGCCTACCAACGTTATTTTGCATGTGTTCTGCAATCCAATTAACTAGTGTGAATACATGTTATTTTCTCCCAGGACAAAGTTAAGCTTTTAGAGATCGGGAGTTTTTTGCCTTTTTAACAGCTCCAAAGCTTAGCAGTGCTGAACACATAATAAACGCTTAATAAATGCTTAACTGCTGGGTGGTATGAGGGAATGAGCAATCCTCCGAAAGAAATGGCAGAACTTCGAAAGAGCTCAGCAACCGGCGCTCGAAGTGAAAACTCGGCCGATCGTGCCCTAGAAGTCAAGCCCAAGGCGGGAGTCGCTGCAAAACCACGTTATCCAGACAGCCCCGGAACTCGCTCGCGACCCGCTAAGAAAAGCCCTTTCCCGGGGCGCCCGGCGGGCCTCCCACCATCCACCCAATATCTCTACCATCCCCTAGCTTCCCACCCCGGGAACTATCGTGATCGTAAGCCGGGCCGGCGGCGGGCCAGCACTCGTAAGCGACTGGGACGCCGGCCTGACCCCCGCCAAGTTTTTTAACTTCAAAGCTGAGACAGGAGCACAAACACAACTCACCTCCCCGGCTCCAAGATGGAGGAAAAAGGAAGTGCAGGACCTGCCGCGCTGCCTTGTGGGACATACATTCTTCCGCCCCGCCTCCCATTTCAGGTGCCCTCCGAAATAGCCGGGAGAACCATTGTGGAAAAAAAAAACACCCAAAATCCAAAATCATGCCTTCCAAAAAGAAACAAATAACTTCAAGGAACATAACCACGAATGTCCCATTGAAATCCTGCCACTTTTCTTTATATAATGTGCACTGCTTGGCGTGTAAAGGAGGCATATCTTTAGGCCACTAAAAGACAAGCAAAAGAAGCCCCTTCCGAAGCGTGTAGTTGCCATGGGAACCACGGGGCCAGTAAGTTACTCTCTATCTTGGGGCGCTCTCTGGACAGAGGTGGGGATGAAGGCTTTGGGCTGCCGGGGAGGGCACGGAAGCACAACTTTCTGTCCTTTTTCTGGGACTCAAGTTTTGGTTCGGGATCCCCTGGGGAGTTGCTAGGCTCGCTCCTTGCCTGCTCAGGGATTGGGTGCCGCCTCCAGAGGCAGGCACCCCCACACCCCACACCCCCGCCCTTTCTGTTGTCCTCCGGGCCACGGGAAGAAAGTTTCCACCTTTGCTAAATTGCAGAATACTATTTAAAGGTGGAGGGGACTCTGGAGACCATCTAGTGGAGGGGTTCTTAACCATTTTGTGTGTGTCGTGGACCCCTTTGGAAGTCTGGTGAAGCCTATGGACCCCTTTCCCCAGAATAATGTTTGAGGGGTTTTTTTTAACTTTTTTTTGTTTTGATTTTTTTTGGTAAGGCAATCGGGGTTAAGTGACTTGCCCAGGGTCACACAGAGGCTGGATTTGAACTCAGGTACTCCTGACTCCAAAGCTGGAGCTTCTACCTGCCCCTAGAATAATGTTTTTAAATGCATAGAATAAAATTGGATTACAAAAGCAAAAGGAAGAATATCAACATTTATTAGGCGTCTGCTATGTGCTGGACGCCCAATGCCTTACATATTATCTCATTTGATCCTCATAACCACCCTAGGAGGTAGGTGCTGTTATCTCCGTTTTACTGTTAAAGAAACTGAGGCAGATGGCTATTAAGTGAATTACTTAGGACCACACAGCTTGTAAGTGTCTGAGGTTGGACTCCAACTCTGAATCTTCACTCTAAGTCCAATGCTGGCTGACTCCAGGATTATAAAAGAAATCAATTATATTGAAATGCAGTGTAAAAAATATTTATAAAAGAAGTTCATAGACACTTCCCCCAGGTGAAGAATTCCTGGTCTGGACCAGTTTTAAAAGTTTATTTTTTAATTTTTTTCAATTAGCAAAAAATTTTTCTCCTGTACTTCCCCAGATTTAGCCCATCCACCCGTTAAAAAATAATTTGATTTTTTCCAATTGAAAATATTATTTTCTCTTGCCCTCTCCCCTCCCCCATTAAAAAAAGAAAAACAAAACTCTTGTAACAAATATGCATAGACAAAACAAAGTCCTGCAGTAGCCATGTCCAAAAATGTATTTTAATATGTTACCATAATCCATCACCTCTCTGTGGCAGGTTATTGCATTATCAGTATTAAATTCTTTCAAAGCTGTTTTTATGGATGCTTTTGTTTTATACATTGTTGTTCTGGTTCTGCTCCCTTCCCTGTACCAGTTCATACAGATCCTTCCAGGTTTCTCTAAAATTGTCCCTTTTGACATTTTGGAGTGTTCAGCAGTAGGGCAGCTAGGTGGTGAAGTGGACAAAGGTCAGGGCCTGGAGTCAGGAAGACCTAGGTTCAAATTCAGACTCAGACACTTACTACCTGTGTGACCCTAAGCAAGTCACTTAACCCTGTGTGCCTCAGTTTCTTCATCTGTAAAATAAAATGAGTTGCAGAAAGAAATAGCATACCACTCCAGTATCTCTGGATGGGGAAGATTTGGAAAGTACTGAATGACAAAAAAGTACACAGTAATATTCCATCACATTTATTTACCATAATTTGTTCAGCCATCCCCTAATTCATGGGTACAACATGAGTTTTCAGTTCTTTGCCCCATTAAAAAGAGCTGCTATAAATATGTATTTACTATTTCTTTTCCTCATTACTTTTTTTTTTGCCCATCAGTAGTTTTGAATGAATGAATGGATAAAGCCTGTATTAAAAGCTTATTATGTGTGAAACACTGTGCTAGGCTCTGGGGATGCAAATAGAAAAGCAAGACAGCCTGCTCTTAAGGAGCACACAATTCATGTGGAAGGTTTCAGCTTCAAGTCACGTTGGAAGGTGCTTAGGTGCTTAGGATGTGAAATAGATGATAAACTATTTTCCTTAATGTTATGTCCACTGATAAAGCCATATCATTTTCTGATGCTGAACCATTTGACAGTGGCAAAGACTGGTGGAAAATTTTTTCCTTTCTGAGTCATCAGTAACTGTAGTTGTAGCACTTGCTGGAGCAATTGCCAGGCTACCTCTCCAAAGAGTTTCTTCCCCATGGAATATGACTGGCCGAGGACATTAGATTGGGAGCACCGTTATTGCCAGAGCTGTTGGGTTCGATGTCCTAAGCTGTCTCCATCAGAGTCTGAGGAGAGATGGCCAAGGCCGTTGGTGGTCATGGTCTGATTTGCCTGGCTCATGTTGCCTCCTGTTTTCCCCTCAGGGTCTCTTGCTGCTTTAGTGAGGGGGGCTTGCCTGCCTTGTGAGTGGCAATTGGTGGGGATGACTGACCCCTTCTCCCTTCTGGAGTCCCTCCAGTGATGGCTGAGAGGGTTGGACTGGAAGCAGCATTTGTGGTCCAATGGTGATTATGAAAGTTAGCCTGGAAGCTTAGGACTCATGGTCTTGGTGGGGTGGGGGGGTGCTACCATGTTCAGGGCTCTTGTGCCTGTTGATGGCAGTTAGAAGTTGCTGGTGGTGATGAGGAAGGTGGCCCCCTCTCCACAATGATTTCTCCCCTCAACGATGGTTGGACTGGAAGCAGGTCAGGTGATTTGGGCTGCTTTGCCAAGACCCTTAGGTTTAGAATCCTGAGCTATTTCCCTCACGGTCTGAGGATCCATGGTGGTAGTTTGACTTGCCTGGCATTACTTTCTCTCTCTCTCTCTCTCACTCTCTCTCCCTCTCCCTCTTTCCCTCTCTCCCTCTCCCTCCCTCTCCCTCTTCCTCTCCTTTTCTCTCCCTCTCCCTCTCCAGAGTGCTTGCTGCTTGCTTTCCTTGTATGTGACAGATGATAGGAATGACTGGCTTCTTCGTAGCAGTTACTTCCCCCATGATGGCTTCAATGGCACCCTAGTAATGCTGGGTCATAGAGCACACACTGACTGGTGATTTTTGATGCTAATTCTGTGTAGAATTTTGCCACTACCAAGTGAACTCATGATTTCCCTTCCCCATTTCCTAGGTGTATGTGCCAGGTCTTTTATAGGGTGGCTAAAGTATGTGATAACCCAAAGTAGGAAAGGGCAACTGCATGCATTTTGATCCCATTTTTAGAAATCAGTACCTACCTGGATTGTGAACTCCTCTCTGAGATAACACTAGCATATTCCCTTGTCTTTTGAAGTCATCTCTTCCTCGTTTCAGGGTTAGGTACAATCTAGAAAATACTACAGTGGAGGAGGAGCTGAGATGAAATGTATCATCTCCTTTTATAGATGTTCACTGTTGCTCTTATTATGAAAAGTGGTCTTTAAAAGCAATGGGGTTGAATGTGGAGTTGGTCCCTCGAGGCCATCCCACCAATGCATTTCCCCCTAGTTGTTTTCTTTAAATAAACCCTTTTTAATTTTCTCTACCAGACTTTTTCCTCTTTTATCAGGGCAAAGGCCAGAGCAAAGATTTTCTTTTAACAGTTTCCAAATTGCTTTCAGAAATAGGACCTGCTTTCAGGAACAAACCCAGTCTTTTCATTTTACAGATTGGGAAACTAAAGCCCTGAAGTATGAAATGATTTGGACAAGTGTGGTAACAGAACAAAGGTTTGAACCTAGTTCCTCAGGGTCCAAATCCTGCTCTCTTTCCACTCCAGTAGATAACCCTTTAGCCATCAACTGAGAAAACCTGTAAACCTGAAATTGCTATATCAACTGTTAACTATGATGATGAAGAAGATGATGATGATGATGGTAATGATGATGATCCTTCCCTCTTTCCTTTGAGTTGAATCTTTGAATCTGCCAGAAATTTTGGTTCCTTGGCATCTTCACTTTCCCACTTCCAAGAAGAATCAATGATATTCCTTTTTGTTTTACAAACCAATTCTTCAGCTTAGGGAATGCCTGCCATAATGCCCCAGGCAAGCCTTTTTTTTTTTATGTCTGTGACTTAGTAGCATTTGCTTCTTCTTAGCCTGAATTTATTTAGAGAACAAAAGAATTGCCTTAAGAAAGGGGAATCTCTATTATGAATAGCTTTGTTTTTCAAATGTAATAAATTCAGCATGCAACCTTCTTTTTTTAAAAAAGCTTTTATTTAGTATTTTATTTTCCCCCAGTTACATGTAAAAACAATTTTTAATATTTGGTTTTAAAACTTTGAGTTCCAAATTCTCCCCCTTCCTCCCTCCCCACCCTCATCCCCCATTGAGAAGGCAAGCAATTCCATTTAGGTTATACATGTGTAGTCATGCAAAACATATTCATAATAGTCGTGTTGTGAAAGAAAACATAGACAAGAAAAAAAGCTCAAGAAAAATAAAGTAAAAAAAATATGCTTCAATCTGTATGCAGATACTACCAGCTCTTTCTCTGGGGATGGATAGTATTTTTCATCCTAAGTCCTTCTGAATTTTCTTGGATCGTTGTATTTCAGTGTATAACTTTCAAAGGTGTCCTATTTGTTTCCTTCTGTTCTCTTCTCTGACTTTTTAAAAAATGTTTTATTTGTTTAGCTTTGTCGGTTCAGAGTGACGGAATTGTAGGCTCCCCTTTGGTCTGGGAATTCCTGTTCTGGTTATTATTCTGCAGGCTGGGATAGATGCTGGAAATGAGATCCAGGCCGTAGTCTGTACTGCTGCTGCTGGCTTTTAAACTCACTCCTTTCTTTGTATGCTGCCTAGAGCCTCCCTAACTAGGAACTGCCCTCTTTTTAGTCCACCTTGGATCTGGAGCCTGGAAGTGGGTAGTAGGTGATAAAGTTGCTAGATTTTAACTGCCCCTGTCTTAATGCTCCATTGTGGGTCTGGTGGTTCCTGGTATGTATTTGAGACCTCTCCTTGCCCTGATGCACAGCCTCTGCCAGGGTTTTGGAATGCTTGCATGGGGCCCACTCCTGGCACAAGTCCTGTCTGTCTCCCTATGCCAAACTGGGCTGGACAAATCACTTACTGATTTTTTTTTCCCTGGATTTCCCAATCAGGAT